AAGAAAAAAATCATTGCATCTTTAACCCAAAACACATGTGAATTACAAAATTCCAAGAGCATGAGGTGCTTACCATACATTAGTAGGGGTGTGATGAGATCTTGTGGCACGAGATCTCGCGAGATACGATGTGTCTCGTGAGATCTGACTGGTCTCGCGAGAACGTGACAATATCCTCGCGTAGACCTTTCAGATATATTTGCATTACACTGGCTCGTTCACAAGTGGTGGTATGTAAGATATTTTGTTCACATCAGGCAAGTGGCCGCATGATAAGCAGGAAATTTACGCAGTGTAGTCTTTAGTCATAAAAACAGAATTCACAGTTTAACGCGGAATGTCACGGAATTTGTCAAATTTTGAATTAATTAATCAAAAGTAGGTCATTACACTTAAATCAAATCACGATATGGACTAATATCTGTAAATATTAAGCCGCAAAAGTGGATTTAAATATGAATCCTGCGTGTTCTGCCTGTCTCTGTTTATGAATGGGGCAGACGCACGGTTTCATTTACTACACATACTGAAGCACGCCTGACGCTCGCGGTGATTTCAGCGTCTGCCGTCTCACTAAATGGGGACGTAAACACATGAACAACATCTCCAGAACTGCTCTGAGAGTCACTTCATGAGCATTTTAGCGTTTGATTTGAGTAAAACTAGCGTCATATCTCATACACAGAACTATAAAGGTATTCACGGCAACCCGTCAAAATAAAAGTCCGGTTTGATTTGAAGTTGTGACATTGTGCCTATAACTATTTTTCAGTAGAATGTACATAGCCTACTACTATTACTACTACTAGTGTTGTCAAAAGACCCGGTATTTCGGTACCAAGTCGGTACTGAAAAAATGAAAACGTTACGGTACCAGGTTTTCTTAAGTACCGGTGGTACCGAGTACCCGGTCAACCCGGTTCTTGATGCGCTATCCTCTTCCAGTGTTGCCAAGTCCACGGTTTTCCCGTGGAATTGGGCTGCTTTAACACTGTTGCCGCAGGTTGTTTTTCATGTACGCGGGTTGAAAAACGACCCCACTAACGTGATATTTAGCCCCTGGAATGCGAATTTTACCAGGGGAACCCCGCCAAAACATGCGTATTTTATCCTCGGAACGCGATTTTTAACGGGGGACCCCCTCGAAACGCGATTGGGCGGGTTTTGTTGTGAAAACCTGGCAACCACTTCATAAAAGCAGTGGCGACCTCAAGAGGAGGAAA